CACAGTTGTTAAGTGAATCGCTGCTGTTATTCAGCTAGTAACACAGTTGTTAAGTGAATCTGGCTTCCCCATTGACATTGCTCGCAGAAGGTCGCAAAAGGTGATCATATGACCCTGGGACATTGCAACCGTCATAAATATGACTCAGTTGCCAAGCATCTGAATTTTGATCACATGACCATGGGGATGCTGCAATGTTTGTAAGTGAAAAGCAGATGTAAGTAACTTTTTTCAGTGTCCTTGTAACTTCGAATGGAGTAAATGAGCTGTTGTAAGTCAAGGACTATTTGTAAATGATTATAAGAAACTTTTACAGTGACTGGAAGTAGATGGGGGATGCCAGAAAGGTTAAGGCTATCTGCAGGCACAGTATGCATTCTGATACTGATCTTGAAATAAAAGTAACTGTCCTTCTATAATGTTCTATAGCACAAAACAGAATGGGCTCATTAGCCAGGGATGAGACATTGAAATTCATTTATTAAATCAGACTTCCTCAGTCTGGCATCCTCAATATGTACTGCAGCTACAACTGTCAGCAAGCATAGCCAATCTCTTCTCTAAAAATTAAGGCAAAATTAAGCCAATTTTTTTTACTAAGAAGCTGACACTGTCTTCCTTCCCCTTTAGAAAAATCACCATGGAAGCACATAGCAATAATGAAATTATATGAAAAACGGATCGTATCACTGCCCTCTTGTAGTTCAGAACATCTTTATATATCACTGAACACAAACTTTCTGTTTTACTCACCGTGCAGATCACAAAGGCTATCAGAAGTGCAATCTGCACTGAAGTTCATGTTACAACACTACTTACTACACAGAATACCAGAAGCCCTGTTGATAAACTGGGTGGGTTCAATCACTGCATTTTGAATTTTGAAAAAGTATGATGGGTACAACCACAAAATGAGGGTAGTGGAAAAGTGGGGCACAACTAATCATAAAATGGTTGCTGTTGGAAATGGTGCAGCCAACCAGAAATATTCCACTTGTTAACCTCTGTTTTGCACACAGAAAAACCAGGCAGGCAGAGAAAGGAAAAAAAACCCATCTGGTTCACATATTTACCTACTGTTATGGTTACAACCTGAACTGGGATGGGGAAACTCAGATTCAAGTCCACCCAAGCTATGGAAATTTTTGCTCCAATCTTGTCTCTTACACCAACCTTATTGGTTGTTATAGGCTACCTACTAAGGGATAAGGAACATACCCATACACACTATCTGAGTTTCTGGAGAAATGGGCAGGATACAGATCTAACAAAATAATATTTATAGCATATAAATAAATTAAATTAAAACGACATGTAATTGAAAGAAATGTAGATCTTGCACTTTAGACATTAAAAATGTATGTGTGGGTGTGGGTGTGTGGGTGTGTGTGAGAGAGAGAGATTCCCAGACAACTGATATGCAATTTGGGCTTTTAGTTGAATACACAAACTAAATATGAGTCAGCAATATGATGCAGTTATTTTTTAAAAAAGCATTTAGTAGTCCTAGAAGCACTGGTTGAGGAAATAATAATTCCACTGTATTCCATGTTAATTAGGCTGCATTTAGAACACTGGGCACAACATTTAAGGACAGCAAGAGCTGGAATGCATTCAAAGTAAAGCCATCAGGATGCTGAGTTTCTGGAAAAGCTCTAAGGGAAACAATGGAAATAGCTAAATATATTTATTTCATAAAATGAGAAGATGATGGGGGAATGTTGTAGTAATTTATAAATATCTGAAGGACATCACAGAAGACAGAGCTGAGTCAAGAAAATTATAGGAAAGCAGATTTCAGTTCTCAAAGAAGAGGTCAACCTATTTTCCAAAGCACCCAAAGGCAAGAGAAGAAACAACAGATGGAAAGTAATCAAAGAGAGGTCCAACCTGGTCCCTTCCAACTCTGAAACCCTCCGTGGTCTATTCTATCCTTTTCCTTTTCCCTATTTCCTATTCCATTATAAATTCTTTAGAGGGAATAAAACCTAACAGTAAGAACCTTAGGCAGAACAGATTGCCCAAAGAGCTAATAAACTCTGTTTCGTTGGAGAGAATTAAGATGAAACTGAACAGCCTGACAAGGATATTCAGAAGCATCAGTCACATTGGAGATACTTTAGGTAGCAGAACTTTGGACTAGACTAATTTTGAGGCTCTTCCAACTCCATCACGCAGAGCAGGAGAAAAGAAAATGCTCATTTCTCTTGAGATACCAGCCATCTTTTAGCTACTTCTCTTCCCTCTCCAAATAGGCAGACATCCATTGTGCTATATGAAATAACCCATCTACCTGGTCTTCATAAGAACCCATCTACCTGGTCTTCATAAGAACTGTAAGTAACCCATCAACCTGATCTTCATAAGAACTGTAAGAACTGTAAATATGGGTGTCTGGGCATGATGTTTCCCTCCCACCTCCGCATATAATTTTTAATGTTGTTTAGTTGGTATTATCAAAATATGGAGACTGGCATCTTATATGGATATTTGATCAAAGAATGGAGTAAACAGACTTTAGTATTATACAAATTTTCATGGTTCAAAACCAAACATAGAGTAACACAAGAATATAGAATACCCCTTGATTATTTAATGAATGTCTTAAATAACATGTAAGGAATGTTTTGTGATTAAAGCTATCTTGGCTAGGAGTATGAATATGTATGTAGCTCTGAACATGACTATGCCATATTATTATTGACTGAGAACTTGAATGATTACAGCAAATGTTAAATTCATGGGTCATAGAGTCAGATCTGTAATATATGAATCTCAGCAATAATACGGAAGACTGAGGATGTTTGTGTTTGACGGTGAAAACAGAATGAACTACTGCAAGTTATAGACAGTGTTATAAAATACACTCAAAAATATACAAAAACATACGAAGTCAAAAATCAGTCCAGATTTCTATATGGAAACATGGAAATTTTGGTAGAAAGGTTGTATGTATGTGGTCTGTTCTATGGCATAAATGTTAAAGAAGCAAAAGTGGCTTTTATATGTTTCTCTAAGTTCTGTTTTATGGCAGGGAGAATTGATTATCAGGATAAACATAAAAGTAAATTGGAAGCAGTGGGGATGGCTTTCTTAACACGCCTGCCCTAAAACAAGAAGTAGGGGTAAGACTGAATGATAGGGTGCTGAATGAATGTAGATTGAATACCACATGAAAAAGCACCTTAAGATGTTTCATTAGCAAAAGGAATGAAAATCAAATTGTAAGACAAATATATAAGGGAAATGAAAACTTGTGAGTAAGGGAGAGACTGAGAAACTTTCGACTAATGTGAGCACTTTCAAAAACTTTGAAAATATGTTGTCTGATGTTTGTCTACCTATACATAAAGTGAAAGCATTCATACAGTATTTTGTAATACAAGTTAATCTTAATAAAGAAATCATCTTAATACAAACTATAGAAATTTTAATCAAGTTGCATTTTTCTCTTCATAAACTGCATCAATCATACCTGGAAATAACATTGCAATAAAAATCAATATACAGGTAGTCCTTAATACTACACAACTGAGCCCAAAAGTTCCGTTCAAGTCAATTGTTAAGTGAGGGTTACCCCATTTTACGACCTTTCTTTCTTTCTTGCCACAGTTGTTAAGTGAATTAGTGCAGTTAAATTAGTAACATGGTTATTAAGTGAATCTGGCTTCTTCATTGACTTTGCTTGTCAGAAGATTGCATTAAGTGATCATATGATCCCAGGACACTATAACCTTCATAAATATGAGCCAGTTGCCAAGAGTCCAAATTTGGATCATGTGACCGGAGATGCTGTAACTGTAGTAAGTGGGAAAAACTATCATAAGTCACTTTTTTCAGTGTCGTTAACTAAAGTCACTAAACGAATGGTTTTAAATCGAGGGCTACCTGTATAAGTAATTTATTTCAAAATATAAAAACAAATCTAATCTAACTAGAGAGAATAATACTGGAGTACTGGAGCCTTTTACTTCATTTAATATTATCCTTCTCCATCATTCATTCTGCAATGCTCCTTCTCACAAACGTACCTAAAAGGCTTGCAGTCCTTGCAAGTCTCAGCCCACAAATAAAAACCGAGGGTATATTGCCATTTTAGAGATGAGGCCACGGAAATAGGAGCTAAGAGTTCCTTTTGGTGCTGTTATTTCTTGCCAGCACCATAGCAATACTTCATCTATTATGAGATTTATTTATTTATTAGTTCAATTTATATGCCACCCTCCTCCGAAGACTCAGAGCAGCTTATAATGCACTTATAGCAATAGCCTTTATTCTTTTGTATATACCTGTTTATTAGGGCTTTTGGCCCCTCATAAGCGGTGTTTCTACAAAGTCATCTTATTGCCCCCACAATCCGGGTCCTCAATTTACCTACCTCGGAAGGATGGAATGCTGAGTCAACCTTGAGCCTGGTGAGATTTGAACTCGCACTAATTGCAGCTAAGTGCTACATAACAGCACTTAGTCCACTGCACCACCAAGGCTCTAACCCTTCTGCTTTCCCAGCCCCCTTCCTTTGGACCCAAGCATGCTTCAAATTATAACAGACGGCACTCCAACTTTCTGGAATTACACTGAATTTCCCTTCAGGCTGGAAGCAGCCACTACTAACCGTTCACGGAGAAAAGAAACAACGCTTAGGCTCCCAAGGAAAGTTCTCCCTGCAAAGTAGCCCGTAAGAAGCAGAACGGAAGGGGCAAGGCAATCGACGCTTTATATACTTCGTTAAAAGGGGGTGAACGCCGCGTCATTCTGGCAACCTTTTTGCAGAGGGAGTCTAAAGCTGCCCCCTCGGATGGACTAAAATGCCGCAGCGCTTTGCAAAACTCAAACCAGGGAGCCCGCTTATTTCCAGGTTAGAGGAGATCAATGCATTGCAAGGAAGAGCGTACATTCCTCACGTTCCCCCGCACATCCGCTCTCCCTCCACACACCCATCGCCGCAAGACAAAGCTCTCCAGGCGGGCGCCGGCTGCACCACGCCCCGGCATCGTTACCTGCTGGCGAGCCAGGTGCAGCCCTTTGAGGCGTTGCTGCAGCTCACGGCGGTAGGTACGCGCCGCCTCGATGCTCTCGTGCGCTTCCTGCAACAACGTCTCCGTCTCCGTCTCCATTTCCACCCCCCGATGATAGATAACCCACCGCCAGTCGGCAGCGAGAGCGGCAGGCCCTCCGCTCAGCCAAGCCCACTATGGGCAGTAGCTTCACAACCGGAAGCGAAGAACATCCGGGCATTTCAGTCGTGCAAGAGACAGGAACAGGGGCGGAGTCTCCGAGGTTCTCCGCTCGTTGCTGCGAATCCCGTATTTTAGTGTTTTTATTTTCGGAATTATCACCGGTTCCAATTGCCTGACTCTGAAGAATGAATGAAGATTATTAATCCGGAGCTGTTTTCTTGACTGATTTTAACTGAAGCGACGTAGTTAATTACATCAAAAAGGACTTTAAAAAAAAAAAAACAACACCCAAATTATGGTAGACGGGCAGATAGTGTTAAAAAGAATAAAATCGTCATTCCGAGAAGCTACACTGCTCAAAAAACTAAAGGGAACACAAGCAGAAGACATCCGAGATCTGAATGAATGAAATAGCCTTATTAAATACTTTGTTCGTTACATACAGTAGTTTTGTGGTCCCTTTAGGTGTTTGAGCAGTGTATAAACTACTGTATGTAAAGAACAAAGTATTTAATAAGGCTATTTCATTCAGATCTTGGATGTCTTCTGCTTGTGTTCCCTTTATTTTTTTGAGCAGTATATTTCATGAGTCAGTTATTTAACTTGATAGTTGTTCTTTCTCACTTGGGACTTGCACCATCCATCAACCCATAGAGAAGGATGCTAGGGACAATATAAATCACTAGCTTTCAATAATTACTGCAAAGTAATTAGCATAAATAAAAATCTATGAATAGGTTTTTCAGCTAGCCAAGATGATTCCAAAACGATAAATTGTGTGATGTGAGGTCATAATCTAAACTATGCTGTTCCATACTTGTGTTACATGCTGTTGTACAAATGAAACAATGTTAAAAAGTTACGATATTTATGTAGTTACCGGTAGTTACAAACCACATCTAAATTAAAGCAACGAAAATATCTTTACAATCCTCAAGGCATGTCACAACTTTCGAGCACCCCAAATGTTTGGAAATTGAAAGGTGAAAAAATTGACATGCCCAGAGGTAGTCCTTGACTTACAACCACAATGGAGCCCAAAATTTCTATTGTTAAGTGGGATATTTGTTAAGTGAAGTTTGCCCCATTTTATGACCTTCCTTGCCACAGTCATTAAGTGAATCACTGCAGCTTTTAGGTTAAGAAAACAGTTAAGTGAATCTGGCTTTCCCATTGACTTTGCTTGCCAGAAGGTTGCAAGATAATCACATGATCCTGGGACACTACAACCATCATAAATGAGTCAGTTGTGAAGCATCCAAATTTTGATCATGACCATGGGGATGCGGCAACAGTCGTAAGTATGAAAAGCTATCATAAGTCATTTTTTTCAGTGTTGTTGTAACTTTGAACAGTCACTAAACAAACTGTTGTAAGTCAAGGACTTACAATGCAGATATGTAAGGAGAGTTTGGGTTGGAATGCTGCAACACACATTTCAGTATTCTAGAACTAGGGTATCTAAAATTACATGCTTCGTTGAGGCTCTGCATATATATGGGTAAGGAAATTTCACTTAATATGAAATTTTTATTTCTATGTTAATGTGCCATATTGAACCACAAGTCTTTGTCAGAATATTATCTGATTCCCACTCCTGTAGGATCAGTTTATGATGTGGTTTTTATCTGGAATAAAGCAGGTAACTAAGGGAAGGGAGGTAAGGAAAAGTACTAGGAAGATGAGAATGGATGGGTTGGTACACAAGCCATGAGGAGAAGGAGGGCAGAGATGGGTGACATGCTCCAGCCTTGTACTACTCAACTCCTAAAAATTATTCCAGGATCTGTTTGAGAAAGGTTAACGAGCACCAAAACAAAAAGCAAACAAACCATGACCCTGACGCAGTGGTGGCCTTCAAAATTTTTTACTACCTGTTCTGTGGGTGTGGCTTGGTAGGCATGGCATGGCATGGCTTGGTGGGCATGGCAGGGGAAGGATACTGTAAAATCTCCATTCCCACCCCACTCCAGGGGAAAGTTACTGCAAAATCCCCATTTCCTCCTGATTATCTGGGACTCGGGAGGCAGAGAATAGATAGGGGCGGGGCCAGTCAGAATTTTTACTACCAGTTCTCTGAACTACTCAAAATTTCCGCTACCGGTTCTCCAGAACTGGTCAGAACCTGCTGAAACCCACCTCTGCTCTGACGGGAGAAGAGACATGTGTCCCAAAACAACCAAAACATTTCAGGTTTTGTTTCTATTGAACTGCAGCCATTCCAAATGAAAGAATATATGGAGGATAGTGCAGTAGATGCAGTGAATCTAGTAAACTGGCCTACAGAAAACCTTCATCATATACTAACTTCACTTTATCTACTTCACCATCCTTCAGATATTCTTCCAATGCCCTTTTTTCTTCTTCCACTATCAGGTGTACTTGTAACATTCCATGCCCACCTATGTTCCTTGATAAATAGAATCTGTCAATATTGCTGTGTAGAAGAAGAATAGAAAAGAGAAATGTCAAAGGCTAAGTGCAGGAAAGTTGAAGAAAGAGACAGAAGGGCTAATTCTGGTTGCACAAGACTAAGCCTTAAGAACAAATGGATATATATTCATTGAGAAGACAGCAACAACCAGCAAATGCCATCTCTGCAAAACACTGAAGAAACAGTGGACCAATGTTAGTTGTTACAAGAAGATGGCACAGATTACAAACAATGGCATAACATAGTAGCAACAATGGTACTGTTGGAAAGAAAATCCATCTGGTTCAATTCTGTTGGAAGAAATGTTCATCTGGGTTCAGTTCCAAGTGAGGAGGAAGACACTGGAAACAGAGAGACTGTTTATATTTATATCCTCTCTTGGGCTCTATCTTGGAGCTTCCTGTTCCTGTGTAAGAAATGTATTCTGGTTGGTTGTCAGACTCCCATAGGGCCATGCAGGGGTAATTTTGTAGGTTGTCTTGAGTCCCAGGCTTGGTTGAATCTTGCTGGGTGATGTAATGAAGGGGCTTTCCATCTTGCAATTACAAAAGGCTATACAAGTTGAATCTATGTATGTACTACGCTAACTTCCTGGGAATAATTTGACGTGTATGAAGACCAACACCAGCTAAAGAACAGGCAGCTGTGATTCGACATTGTTGTGTATATAATAATAATTGAAACAAATTCAACATCAATTGCAGAAGACAGCTTTACTTGGAACAGTTTATGTCCTGCGATGATACTCTTAACACCATCAAACATCAACATCTTCCTATCCCAGGTCTTTGGGAAAGATTGGATAGGTGGATAAAAAAATCCAATCTGAACATCTGGCTGACTGTCCAATGAACCATAATAATGGTCCCTCCTCTGATTCTTCTACATAACTGATATATTATGGTCTGAAGTCACCTGGTTTCTGTGGCTGAGGGTGAACTTGAACCTGTCTCCAATCCTATTACGGTATGCTGGTTTTAATGCATGCCTGTATTAAATTCAGTGAAATAATACAATTTCACTACAAATTTCTGAGGGCCATACCCAAGGCTCTGAAAACTTTTCAGACACATCTACAAGATTTTACATTAGTTTTCTACATAATATAAACATGGCTTTCTCTCTAGAAATTTATCCTAATTGAAAACAATGAATTAGAATTAGAATTAATAGAATTCTTTATTGGCCAAGACACAGAGGAATTTGTCTTTTCTGTGCATAAGCTCTCAGTGTACCTACAATAGTGATAGATCATTTAGGTTCTATTTAATTGGGCCAAACTATGTTATAATAATAATTTTAATTAGCAATTTTATGATGTTTGTGTATCTATATTTTTCTTGACTGTACACCACCTTGAGTCCTACGGAGAAAGGCGGTATAGAAATATAATAAATAAATAAATAAATAAATCATTATCGTAGTCATTGTAAAAATACATTCTTCATAAAACATAAGATACAACACTTAGTGATAGTCATGGAAACTAAATAAGCAATCAACATAAATCATATTAGGATACTAAGTAAACATAAATTTACTTAGTATCCTAGTATGATTTATGTTTGAATTGAATGAAGTAAAACAATGAATCAAAAGCAACGTCCCAGAAGAACACAGTGCAACACACCCACTTCCAATATTGTTAATTGGAAAAATGAACTAGACGGCCACCAGGAGCCGAATTCAGCTCAAAACAGCCTTTTAACTACTTTGTGCCTTGAAAACAAAGCAAAACCTCCTCCCTCCGCCCCACGCCCCGCCGCGAGGAGCCTTCCTCTAATTGGCTTAGAGGTTCACGTGACATAGAACACGGCAATGAGCGGGTCTTGGCCCAGCTCTCCTGTCACGTGCTTCCCGAGAGCGCACGCTCCTCCCTCCCAGTGTCGCGGCGCTCCAAATCCCTCCCACTTGCCCCGCCTCTCGCGCGGTCTTTTCTGGTTTGCCCGATTGTATTTCTCGCGCGGGAATTTCCGATTCGGTTCCTCTTCCCGCTGAATGGCGGATAGGAGCCGGCGGGGACGGCTATCTTGGAGGGAAGATGGCCGTGTTCGCGGCCGCTACTGCTTCGCCCACTGACGGGGCTGCTCAGGTAAGCGTTAAGAAGAAGAGGGGGACACTCTTCGATCTCCCTGCTTTTGCTCGCCCGAGCGCGGAGGGGAAAGCGGTTGGGATGCGGAGATCTCTTTGTATAGGCGACGGTAACCGGGTTTAATCTTTTGACACCTTCTTGCCTCCCTCCTTAATATATACATGCAACATCTTTATATTAATCTGGATTTTAAGCGGGGAATGAAATTGTCTTTTTGCCTGCATTAGCCTGTTGATTTCATGTGTCTCCTTCCACACTTGGTTTTGCGATCCCTCCCAAAACCGAGGATCCTTGGCAGCTGATCCATGGACTGCAAAGTCCAAGGTTGGAAAGGAGGTGTCAAACTCTGCTGTTTTTTTGCTAGCTTTCTAAGGAACTCTTTCTGCCTACTGTCCATGGAGATTCTCAGTCATCCAGGTCATGGTTGTCCCAAAGGTGCTTTTTTTTCAAGAGGCAACTGGACTTTCTGGTCTTTCTGCATACTGTCATTCCCAACCAGGAGGACTCAAGAAAGGCCATCGGTGGTGGCTCTGTGGAATTCAAAGATTGTAGTCCCTCTTTTTAGGAGTTTAGTATCAGACAAAAATACCCTAGATTGAAAGTTAAACTAATTATGGTTGTCAAGATTTCTTCACGAAGTATAGAAGTTGCATTAATCCAATGCCTGGTAATGATTCTAGTAGAACCTTGTATTTCCTATTTAAGGGCATTTTCTTATCTTTGGCCTGTTTGATTGATATTATTTTGTTTAAGTCAACCCTGGCCATCGATGTGGTGACAGATGTAGCTGTCAGATCACTCTCACAAACATATTTTTGTTTGAATAGGCATGGCTATTTTGTTCTGCTTGACTCGTGAAAAAGAAATTAGGAAAGCAATCTGCTGTAATACAAAAGATAAGTACAGGTAGTCCTTGACTTACAATGACAATTGGTATCAGGTTTCCCATTGCTAAACAAGGCAGTTGTTAAGTGACTCGTGCTCGATTTTATGACCTTTTTTGCCATGGTTGTTGAATGAATCCCTGTAGTTGTTACGGGAATCCGGCTTCTCCCACTGGCTTTGCTTGTTGGACACCAGCTGGGAAGGTCACAAATGATGACCACATGAGCCAGGGATGCTGCAACCGGTGTAAACACATGCCAAGTGCCAAATACCCAAATTTTGATCACATGACTGTGGGGATGCTGTGACAGTAGGGGACCATGTTGTGGTCAATGCTGTGAGGACCAGTTGTAAATCACTTTTTTCAGTGCTGTTGTAACTGGGTTGCTAAACAAAAGTCAGGGATTATCTATACTATATGTCTGTTCAGCTTTTTCTTCATTTTTGTGTACTGGCTTTAATAATTCAGCTGGAAGTTGGTCTAAATTCTCTAAATTAAAGCCTGAATTTGTTGCCTGTTAACAAGAAGACATGTCTGAAATAAAGTGTGCTTTAAGTTGCAGAAAGATGTTATGTTTGCAGTCTCCAAATGTTTTAAAACATATTTTGGGTAGTGAAGCCAAACCACTGCACAACACTTAAAAATAGTGCTATGCGTCCGTGAGTGGTATGCTGAAAATCTTTAAAAATAATTCCAAAGTGAATATCACCTTGATAAGATATTGCATTTGCATTTTATTGTATTTATTTCTATGCTCTTTCTTCACAGTCATGTACTAAACGGAAGGAAGGCAATCTTTCCATTAAAGCAATTACCAGCTATTTTTCTCCATTGGGGAAAAATGTTGAGAGCGCGTTGTCACCACCAAAGTCTAATAATATAATGGATTATTTAAGAAAACCTCCTATAAATGAGAATGCTCCTTCACCTCTACTGGAGCAAGAAAGCAAAGCAAACTCAATATCACTGGAAAATTCTTCAAAGCCTCCATCAAAACCTAAGTGGAGAGGAAAGCGGAATAACTTAAATAATAAATTAAAAACTGATAAAACACTTGAGCCTGAGCCTTTGGTAGAAGTGAATAAGGATAATGATAAAGAGACAGCCAATCCACAAGAAGAGAACTGTAAGCCTAGTTTCATGAATCACAATGATATTGCGTTGATTAGCCTCACAAATGGGGAACAGACATTAAATGTTTGTAGTGAAGGCTATATCAATAAAGTTAGCTATAAGAATGAGGAAAGAAAAACTAAAATAGAAGGAAATGTAGTAAAAAGCAATGCTAAAAAATTAAAAAGAAGGAAGCCTAAGAATGACATGGATTTGTTTGAAAATTCTACCACTGAAACACAGACAAAGGATTCACATAAAGAAACTAATAAACAAATTGCGTCTGTCACTGAATCAGAAAATAAAACTGTAGTGCTTACTCTGGATCCTGAGGCTAGAGCACAGATAACACCATACAATACTGTCACTGTATCATTTGAAGACTTCTTAAAAAGCCAAGGAGAAGACGTCGAACAGATTCCAAGAAAACAAACACCTGATGATTTTGTTGCCTCTGATAAAACAGACATTGATCAAGATACTCAAGATTTACCACTTAAGAAAGTGACTGTCCTCGCCCAAATTCATTCTATCCCTCCAAAATCTCTCCGGTCCCAGAAAATCGCCTCTATTTTTGTAAACCAAAAAAGCAAAGCCAAAGTAAAAAAGAGTCCAGCTTCCTCAGAAATGGAGTATCTTGAAAAGGTGACTCAAAAAAGAAAGTCAAACGTGGTGATTGCGGAAGAGGAGTTAGAACTGGCAGTATTAGAAAGTGCAGGTTCAGAGACTGTGAAATCGAAATGCACTGCTGAAGAACGATACCAATTTATGAAAGCTTTTAGACAGCCAGGAGCAGATGTAGTAAAAAATGGAGCTAAAAGAGGACCTAATAAGCAGAAAGAAGTTGAAGAAAAACCATCAAGCCACGAGCTAGAAGGGGAAGAATGCGAGGATGACTCTAACCAAAAAACTGCGAACAATGCATTGATAGCTTATGGTAGTGGCACTGCCCATGACATTACCGAAAAATGTGATAGCACCAGAGTAAGAAATAAATCCAAAAAGCGGAAGGGCATAGTGGAAGCAAAAGAGAATGATTTCAATGTTAATGATAACCAGAACAATAATGCTCACGATCCAATTAATAGGACAACACCAACTGAGAAAGAAAGAGGATTTTCTCAAAAAAGTAAGAGATTGAGAAGACATTGTCAGCAAAAGGGACGCCGGAGTACACCGGAAAAAGCCATGGTTCCACAGGCTATTACTGAAAATCCACCAGATGCTTGCCCTCTGCAGACCTCTACTCCTAAAACAAACCGATCTTTTAAAAATGACTTGTATACGGCTGAAGTGATAACTGAGCCCTTTGATTCAAACAGCCCAATAAGGTAATGTTATTTTGACATATTTTGGGAGTAAAAGTAATGATTGTTACATAATTTTGTCTGGAAATAGAAGCTTATCAGTATCAAAACATACTGAAGTTGCATTTTTTAAAAAGTTTAATATTATGGAGTGGGTTTTTTTGTTTTTGTTTATACAGGATGAAGTTCACCCGAATTATTAATACCTCAGACAGATTTACGCAGCAGAATGTAAAGGTATGATAAATCTGAATGAAAGTAACCCTTGAGGCATCATTGTAAAAAATTAAGGTTAGATAGCTGGATTTAAAGTGTGAAAATGATCTTTGAATGATGTATGAAAATTAAGCCTCTTAAAGCCATGAAAAATATAAGGTTTGCACAGGCCTATTTTCACGTTTCATGGAAAATATTTACACTGAAGCTAGGGTTGCCATTCTTATGATCATGTAACTTACGGGTAAATTTTCAGTTACCTGCATTATCTTGCGGTCAAATAATATATTTAGAGAATGAATGGGCAGGGTAATGAAAGCAAATTTGAGGCATTTGCTGATCTTGCTGCACTCAGAGATTTTGCAAATAAGTATACTGGCTCATACTGGCACCTTCAGTAGAATACTTGGGAATTTGTATGTGTATATATGTACAATGTATATATCTGTTATAACTGTCTAATTATTTTCCTGTTTTACACCATATCAGAGGTCTACTTAATATGTGGCATTAATACTGTTCATTATATTCAGAGGTATCTTATAGGAAGGAAAAACACAGTTTGGAAAGGGTGCATGTATTTCAGCTCACAGCTGTTAATTATTTTTCATTTTTGTGGTAGATGAATTCAACTTCTAGAAATATTTTCAAAGCAAAGAAATTGGTTGAGAAAGCAAAGGCTGTACAGCATAATCGAATATCAAGAACCGTGGAAGAAGCGTTCCATGTATCTTTAAGACGCTCTTCTAGACAACGGGCTCTTGCTGAAAAGAAACATTTAGAAAAAATAGAAGTAAGTATGTTGAGATCATTGATTTATTTAATCATAATTTTGCTGTTGAAATTAACTGAAATGTTTCCTGTTGAGTTTGAAATAACTTAATAAACTTGCTTTGTTTTACATGTTTTGTTTTACATTCATTTAAAGTTTAATTATAGCAAAAAATGCAATAGAAACTTTACAACCAGGCCAGGTTATAATGGGTAAATTTGGACAGCACAATAACATGAAAGTAGACCATATATTTTTTTCTCTTTATTATTGTGTTACTGTAAATCCTGATACAAATTATTATTTCAATGCAGTATTCTTACGTATCTTAGAGTATTGAACATAGAGAAGAAGAAAGAAAAACTAGATATCCTATCAATATTAGTTACAGCTTAGGACATTAATGTTACCAGCATTATGATTATTTAGCTTTCTCATTCAAAATTAAATATAATATTGGAAATAAGGAGAAGAAGGAAGAGCACACTTTAAGATATTTGCTCTGTAAGAAAGGTTTCGATTTTAAGCTTATTCTTGGATGTTTGCTCTTACTTAGTAGCTTCTTTCCCTAAGTGGCAGTTAGAAACCAACTGTCCATTGTTTGTTTTGGGCTTACTGTGTCATCTGCAGGGGTCTTCTTTTTTCTTCTAACCAGAGAGCATCCCTTTCATTTATTGTAGATTTGTTATGGGGATAGCATCTGTTACTTACGTCTAGAACTGCTTGAAGAGGACATGATAAAACTGAGCCACATTAAGGAAGGAAGGATGTATGCTGATATGTTCATGATAAACCATGCTTGTAATGATTTGCCACATTTATTTATATATGCCAGGGTGGCACAGTGGTTAGAATGCAGTATTGCAGGTTAATTCAGTTCAGTGCCAGGGGTTGGATCCTGGTGGGGCTCAAGGTTGACTCAGCCTTCCATCTTTCCAAGATTGGTAAAATGAGGATCCAGATTGTTGGGGGAAATATTCTGACTCTGTAAACCACTTAGAGACTGCTGTAAAGAACTGTGAAGCGGTATATTGGCCATGGAGCTATTATGTGCCCTGAGCTCCATGGACTTACTAACATTGCATGAAATATAAAGGCATATTAATTTACCAGAAAATTTATACATTAAAGATTAAGAAATTTCGACATTATTGGGGGAAAAACAAGGGAGCAAAAGGATGAAGTATGCACCTACACATCACCAACAGGCAATCAAAGATTCCTCCAGTCTTTGAGTAGTAATAATAATTTGTTAATATTTATTTGTTTTTATGCAGAACTCCGGGGCTCTGGATTCAGGCACTGTTTCAGACCACATAGAAAATCCCAAAAAACTCCAAAGTGTAAATGATGTATTGGGGAAAAAGACCAAATTTGTGAAGGCAACTAAGAAGTCAAATGGTAATAAATGTTACTTATTTACAATATGTTCAGTGGCTACAATAGAAACAAACTGAGATCTGGGATCATAAACCCTGTCCCTTAGTAATTGTGTAAATAACAGCCATACATTTTCTGGCTAGGATAGGAACAACAACCATGACGGGCAGGAAAGAGCTTTTGATAAACAATGTTTTGTCAATTTAGCCTGATCCAATGGAAGCTAATACATAATAAACAACCTCTTTATCACTAATATTTCTCACTTTTAAACATGGAAGTTAACTTGTCAAAAATTGTGGTGAAAAGAAAATATAAAGGCGGTAATGAATCACTAAAATCTTTAAAAAAAATAGGGCCATATTGAAAAAGAGAAAAATTAGAGGAGACTTTGTCATTGTGTAAGATTGTGTAATAGTGCCTGGAAAGATTCATAAAAATGAATGATTCATGAAGAGATTTGTATTTCTCTTATGTTGTTTCATTACTTGAGGAAGACTAAAGTGCTGCCTATATATAATTGAATACTAATTTAGCAATATGTTTTCTTTAAAGGGAAGGAGAAAATGTCTTTGGCAATTAGGAAAAAAAATAAAAAGTCTACAGATGAAGCAGTTTTTATCAAATCCAGGTCAGTCCATTATCACTACATGGAATAATGATATAACTATGGGAGTTACTCTATCTCTAAATTAAATTGAAAATTGCATTTTGCTAGTATTTGGTTTTTGAGCCAGATGCCTCTTGATTCAAATTTTGTAGCTTCAGTTACTGCTCAGACAGACATTTGATAGAAGCGTGTTTGCAAATCATGTTTAACTTGGAAAAAGGATGTGTTGGTATGTAGGTATACACTGATGGTGTTACTTAGTTGGGTAATGAAACATCTGCAAGCAAACAACCAAGTTCAGAGAGAACAAAGAACTCCATGGTTCAACCCCAAGTTACATATATTCTCTTATTTCTTTTGTTCTCTCATCATCCAGAGGTCCTTAGTAAACCAAGATGCCCCTTGGGAGCAACTATTACTGAGATGCCATTCAGGCAATCTTATTCAAAATCTTTGTACTCTGTATATTAAAGAATTGAATAAGGTACACAGTAAATTGCCTACCCCCATTCATCTCTGAAAGTCCTAAACAGCCTGTAATCTTTTCAAAAAGCATTGCTGTAACCAGTTGCTGTATACTGAAGTTATTTTTGGTTGTCATTTTCATTAGTGAAGATGAGTCTGAAAACTCGCAAGATGACACAGAGTTCAAAGCAAAACGTGAATTTTTAATGAGCGGTTTGCCAGAATCTTTAAAGAAAAAGATTGCAAAAAAAGCAGTGGTGTTGGAAGCATATTCTGCAGTTAATTCCTGTTTTCAAAAAGTGATCCATGTTCAGCAGAAGAACGATGGTGAGTGCTGATCTTTTGAAGTTTCTGTAATAAATATTAAGTTATTAAATGTTTTCACTTTAAGGGTGGTTTATTGACACATTTAGTACATTAAATGTTCTTATTTGATTAGGTAGCTATTTTGTGTTTATGGAAGTTTTTACATCAGAATCTTAGTACTTTGGAGGAATAAGACACCAGATATTAAAGAAAGATAGCCAACGAAGAGACTAGAAATATAAAAATAGGTTGTATAGGAGTGAAAACTACTAAATGTGTAGTAATGTTGCATCTGTGTTATTGGGCAAACCAACCAATCAGTTTTCGCTTAGAGAACTTAATAGTCAGGTGTTTATCTTGTGCTTAAGTTCATTTTATTAGAGTGAGTCTTTTTATACAATATTGATTTCTGCTGTACTTTGTCTAGCTTTCTCCCAAGACACTTGTTAATTATCAACAAGTGTATTGCAGATGAATGAATATTGTCCCGTCATTTGATTTTCCTATAATTTCTATTCAAGAATAGCTTTCTAAAAGTTGTTAATTGAATTTTTATTTTTTTGTAGAATGCTTGATGTGGAGATTGGCACCACCGTCTTGTTCCTTCTTAACTAAGGATGTGAATTCTGAAGTAACTGATGTTGCAAAACTTACTCTTTCACTGGGTGAACTCTCAGTTTTAACTACACAACTTAATAGCAATGATTCTGTAGTTGTGGTTAGTATTTTATAATCATTTTTATGACCATTTTGAATAAACATTGTGACACTTAAACACAAAATAGAGAACCAGAATTCTCACTATTGTTTGCAAATTACATGCTAGTGCAACTGCCTGATTGCTCCTGCTTCGTTTCTCCCAGTAGTGAGAACACTTTTCATAACCATAGGAATTCAGCAAGAAAGTTTAATGACTTTTGATGTACCTTTTCTTATAAGCCAGGAATTATAAGCTTGAGTTAGTCCCTGTCTTTAGATTCTTATTTGATATAAATTATTGTGGATTTTACATTTTAGAAATGTCTTACTATGGTGTAGGGGAGTTTTGGTAGCATTATATATGTGATTTTACTGACATAAGAATATTATATGGAATGGTATATTAATTTATTTAATTAAGGTGAAATAACCTTCGTTGTCATTTATCTGTATACACAACAGCACACATTAAAATGAAATTCCCAATGCCCCACTCTCGAAAGAAGGAACGCCACCCACTGAACAATGTCACCATCCCAAGGATACCAACTATAATATTATAACAGCAGCAGCACCAAAAATTAAATGTATATGTTGCCTAACTCTTAATGACTGTTGGGCAGCTTACAATTGCTAAAACATTTAAAAACAAAGAACAGTATAAAAAAAGACAAAAGCAGCATAAGATCAAAGATATGAAAAGAAAATACGGAGGGAGGGAAGGAAGGAAGGAAAATATTGTCATTCCCTCCAAAGGATTACATTTATCCAAGAATGATAAATCAAAACTCACAGGAATCATGATTGTATATGAATAATGAATGTGAACAAATTTTATGTGGCAATTTTAATTATTGAAGTGACTTTTATTACAACATATTTTAACTACATAGTCTCTAGAGAATATTGTGTCCTTATCAAACAATTGTTAATTACCAGAAATATTCAGTATGCAAGCAATATGTTTTCTTTTATTTGCAGCCATCTGGGTGGCGACCAGTATTTTCCAAAATGCAGAGGGATGTTTTGTTGGAAGAGATTCAATCTTTCAATGCTCAGTTTCCAGTGAAACTATTTTTTGATCTACTTTTGAAAAAACAAGCTCCTCCTGAAAACAGTAAACAAGGTTAGCAGTATGTGTAACTAAAGTTATTGTGTAGATAATGCAAAATATATGGATTTACTTAGAAGTAAAATCTTTAATTGAGGGAAATATATTCTCCAGAAAAATTGATATTAGTCTGTCCTGGAGGATTCACCTAATTCTGAATAGATTCATTTTGAGACCACAGGTAGCTGAAAGAGAATGCTAAAGAATGCTAAAATATGAACAGAACTATACAATATTTAAGACTACATTCCTATTATCTTTTGGATATATTAAATATTGATGCTTAGAAATGTACAGAGATATGACATCTTGCTTTTCCCCCCCCTAAAACCAGTAAATAAATGTGAATCCGTTAATTCTGAAACAATCACAGTTGAAGTGCAGAAAGAAGGCAAAAGGAAACGAAAAACTGAAGATCGTAAATGCAAAAGAAAGAACCGGAAGGAAAAATCAGAGCTTGAATTATCAAAAAGCCCTTCCCAGATACCAGGTGCGAAACCAATTGGAGCAGAAAATAGCCTCCTAATAGATATGGATAAGGCGAAAGAATCTGAGATGAAGATAACAGAAGATTCTCAGTCTGGATCAAAAATCACCTGTCTTTCTGGTAACTCTTTATTCTGAATGTTTTAGAACAGAGGTGTCAAACTCAAGGCCTGCGGGCTGCATTCAGCCTGCAGGTTGCTTAGATCTGGCCCGCAGGGCTGCCCTGGAAACAGTGAAGGACCGGCCCACGGTGCCTCTGCCAGCAAAAATGGAGCTCACGGCCCCCCCAGGTTCCATTTTCAGCCGCAGCCTCCCTAGCTCCATTTTCGCTGGCAGAGGGCTGCGCGAAGCCATTGTGGCCGAAAACGAGGCCCTGGGGTGCCAGAGGGCTAGCAAAACAAACTAAAAGCAAAACAAAACAGAAGGAAAAATGTTTCCCCTTTTGCATTTGAGCACCCAAGAAAGGACAGGGAAAGAGGAAAGACAAAGAAGGAAAGAAGAAAGGAAAATGAAAAGGGAAGGAAAAAAAATGGAAGGGAAGAGGGAGGGAGGGAGGGAGGAGATTATAATGAGAGGGAGGATCTGAGGGAAGTCCTGACTTAGCACTTGGCCATCACAGGTGCCCCCGAGACGAGTGATGTTGAGCTGGCCATGCCCTCCTGCCCCCCCCCCCCCCCCCCCACCCTCAACCACAACCCTGATTCGGCCTTCAAAGAAATCGAGTTTGACACCCCTGCTTTAGAAGATAGTTATAAAGCTAGAACTTGTTTTTTTCAGCAAGGAGAATATTACAGGTAGTCTTTGATTTAGGGCCATAATTGAGCCCAAAATTTCCATTTGCTGAACAAGATAGCTTTTAAGTGAATGTTGCCCCTTTTTATGACCTTTCTTGCCACAGTTGTTAAGTAAATCAATGTAGTTGTGAAGTTAGTAACACAATTGTTAAGTGAATCTAGCTTCCTCATTGACTTTGTCAGAGGTGATCATGTGACCCTGGGACACTGCAACCGTCGTAAATACATGCCAGTTGCCAAGCGTCTGAATTTTGATCACGTGACCATGGGGATGCTGCAGTGGTCATAAGGGTAAAAAACAGTCATAAGTCACTTTTTTCAGTGCCTTTGTAACTTTGAATGGCCACTAAACGAATGGTTGTAAGTCGAGGACTACCAGTATAGAAAGCTTCATTATTGAACAGATTGATGAGACCTAAATTGGCTAATGCACTGCATGCTCCAGAGAATTGTAATGGGAAAGTATAAATTGAGCAGCAAACTAGGAAGATAATTAATAATCAATTCCCAGACATTCCTTCTGCTACAGCAGTATAATGTTGAATCCATGCTGCTGCTGCCATTTTAATTATTTTATTTAGTTATAAATCTTAACCAATTTTAAATTGTGGTATCTCAGTTAATCTATACTTTCAATAATTTATGAATTTAGATTAATCAAACTTGTACTTTTCTCTGAAAAGCTCTTGCTAATTTTCACTATTTCTTATTGAAAAAAATGAATTGCTATCCATATCATGAATCTGGTTTATTTAAAGTGATAACTAAAATTAACTGCAGTTTTGGATTCAGATATTAAACTTCGATTAATTGAAGACAGAATGAAACTTCAAGCAGTGTCGCTTGGTATCATGTCAGAATGCAGTGCGCTTGTTAGAGCAACGATATATTAGCTTTAATTATTAGAATTCAAACCTTTATTTGAGCTAGATAACTGCTCGGTTTTAATGTAATAAACACATGAGGCATCTTAAAACGAATAACTTTATTTTCACACCTACAGATTTTGCAAGTGAAGATACGCTTTGGACCGAAAAATACCAGCCACAAAACTCGAGTGAACTTATAGGCAACATCGAAGCAATTAAAAAGCTACATAGGTCAGAAATAACTTTTTTAAAAAATATAAATGATTGTCGGCCCTTCGAGGTGGTCCAGACAAGGAACCAATACCATGAGTACTAACACTAGCTTTACTTTCTGTTTGCCATAACAGACTCTTGCAAGTCTGACAGCCCATCTCTCCCCACTTGCCTTTTGTTTTCGGGGAGGGGGGGTCCCTCTTGAGAGGTTTGCCACTCTTCCATTCCTTCTGTTGACAGAAGTTGCTATTCAGAGCATTGTCCTGGCTATGGTTCTTTCTCCTCCTGCCTCAAGGATATTCCCCCAAGCAATTACATTAGTTGTTATACCTGGTTCTCTCACTGTATTATCTATCTATCAATATCCATCCACCCATACACTCTTTTAGAAACGTAGAGGGCAGGGGTGAAATGCTCCCGGTTTGGACCGGATCGCCTGATCCGGTAGTGATGGTGGCGGGTGGTTTGGAGAACCGGTACCAAAAATCTCTGCCCCCACCCCCATGCCCAGCTGAGCCACGGAATCATCAGAGGCTTTTTTTTTATTTTTAAAAGCATTTTTTCTACAACCTCTTCAGCCAAAGAGGTGGTAGAAAAAATGGTTTTAAAAGTAAATAAAAAAGTTGGCCACGCCCACTCAGTCACATTACACCCCCCCAAGCCACGCCCACAGAACCGGTAGTAATAAATTTTACATTTCACCACTGCTAGAGGATTTGACATGAATATATACGTTGTCCTCGACTTATGACCACAATTGAGTCCAAAATGTATGTTGCTAATTAGAAGAGCCGTGGTGCCGCATAGGTTAGAGTGCAGTACTGCAGGCTACTTCAGCTGACTGCTAGCTGCAGTTCAGCAGATTGAGTCTCACCGGCTCAAGGTTGATTCAGCCTTCCATCCTTCTGAGGTGGGCAAAATGAGGACCCAGATTGTTGGGGGCAATAGACTGACTCTGTAAGCCACTTAGAAAGGGCTGTAAAAGCACTATGAAGCGGTATATAAGTCTAAATGCTATTGCTATTTGCTAAGTGAAAAATTTGTGAACTGAGTTTTGCTCCATTTTACGATTTTTCTTGCCACATTTGTTAACACTGCAGTTGTTAAATTAATAACACGGTTGTTAAGTGAATTTGGTTTCCCCATTGACTTTGCTTGTCAGAAGGAGATCACATGACCCCGGGACGCTGCAACCGTCACCAATAGGAGTCAGTTGCCCACGGGTCTAAATTTTGATCACTTCAACACGGGGATGCTGCAATAGTCATAAGTGTAAACTTTTTTTCAGTGTCATTGTAATTTTGAATGGTTACTAAACGAACTGTCGTACGTCAAGGACTACCTGTATTGCTGCTGGTGATAATGTGGCATTCTCTTTATTTTTATTAGGTGGCTGTGTGAATGGAAAAGAAAAGCCAGTTGGGAAGAAAACAGAACACAAAAAGAGAAGAAGAACGGCAGCAAAGATGGTATATATTGGACTCTTTCCCCTTCTTTACAATAAAATGTATCAGGCTTACTATAATTGTTAATGTGAGCTATATCAAGAGCCTAGTAGGGGTAAACAGTTTGTGTAAAAGGTTAATGATTAATTTGATCTTAGCGGGGAGAGCGTTTCTCCTACCTTTTGTTATTCTCATGGAACGCCATTATCCATATTCATTTCATTTTGAATATGGATAGTGAATCCAAGAATTAAAAATCAGTCCAGGTTTACGTGCTCAAGTTAAAGGCTGATTTTATTATCTGTGCCGTTCTGTAACTGAACAGATTCCTCAGAGCATTTGGACTTCATAGACGACACATCAGTCAGCGATGAAGAGAACGTTTTGTGCAACACCATGTTGCTTATTGGACCCCCGGGGATAGGGAAGACGGCAGCCGTCTACGCTTGTGCACAGGAGCTTGGCTTCAAGGTGTGTGCTAGTGGCAAATAGAGTAGAGGTGAAGTCATTGTGTTATGAACTTATCTGTTCTTTACAATTACCTTGCAGATATTTGAAGTGAATGCTTCTTGCCAGCGCAGCGGAAGGCAGATTCTCTCACAATTAAAAGAAGCCACTCAGTCTCACCAGGTGAACAAACAAGGTGTACATGCTCATAAGCCATGCTTCTTTAACCATTACAGCGGCACTAAGTCACCAAGTAAGATATTTCTCCTTCTTTTTATTTTTATTTTTTTGCCCAGTCATAAAAGAGCCTTGGTAGTACAGTGGTTTAAAGCACCCTGTTATTAACACAGCTGCCTGCAATTACTGCAGGTTCGAATCTTACCAGGCTCAAGGTTGACTCAGCCTTCCATCCTTTCTAAGGTAGGTTAAATGAGGACCCAGTTGTGGGGGCAATAAGCTGACTTTGTATAAATATACAAAAGTATGAAGGCTATTGCTTAACGCATTGTAAACCGCCCTGAGTCTCCGGAGAAGGGCGGCATATAAAAATCAAATTAAAAAAAAAAAAAATTAAAAAAAAAAGAAAGGATGGAGCAATTACAATAGTTATTTGACATAAAATAACTTTATTATAGCTGTATATTTACAGAGAGGCAATTTCCATCTTTCCTGATCAATTACCATTTATATCTCTGCTGCACTACACAGTCTATCAGCATCTAAAGAGCACTGCCTGAACTTTCCTTGTAATCATAATCTATCAGCACTTTATGGTTGACAGTAAGGGTGTTTCCTTTACCTGCTTGGGCTTGATCTATATTGTGTCTACAGTAACAGTAATACCGCTGACAGGGATTATAAAATATCTTTCCCAACATCATTTAGCTCAATGTTTCTCAACCTTAACAACTTTGAGAGGCGTGGACTTAACTCCCAGAATTCCGAGAGCTGAAATCCACATCTCTTAAAGTTACTAAGGTTGAGAAACACTGATTTAGCCACAAGTTAATGGCAGAAGAGGATAGAGAATTTCTGGTTATTATTATTTATCAATAACTCAAGGCAATAAACATACCTATACCCCTTCCTCCTCCAACAACAACAACCCGGTGAGGTGAGGTGAGGATAGAGAGGGACTGCCCCAAATCACCCAGCTTGCTTTCGTGCCTAAGGCAAGACTAGAATTTACAATCTCCTGGTTTCTAGCCCGATGCCTTAATCACTAGATCACTCTGCTATCAACACATGTAGAGTCATGCTAAATATCATTAAAGTGAACAGAGAGCCAGTTTGGTGTGGTGGTTACAGGCACTAGTGTCAATTAGAAACCAGGAGTTCTAATTCTGTTTTAATGATGGAACCAGCTGAGTGATTCTTAGCCTTAGGAAGGAGAAGGCACTGGCAAAATAGTTCTGAAAATCTTGCCCAAAAACCTGCAGGCAGTTGTCGGGAATCAACCCTGACTTGAAAGCACAACCTCCCTTCTCCCCCACACCCCAAACAAAAAAAAACCCTAACAACACCATCCCTGAGCTACATTTAATTTTAACAATAATTACAACTAATTCATCTTAGCCCCATGTACCTCTTAGGATGTGGCTCTCAGCATGTTTCCCAAAGGCCAAATGCAGCCTGTTTTGAGCCTGTTTAATTCCTTTGGAAATAGCAGATTTATATTAAGGAAAAGAGTTCTCCTTGTAATATAAAAGCTAATGTTTTCCTGTTGTAAATTTATGTATAAATTTGCTTTTGTAGAGAAACAGTCTCCCAGAAAAGAGTGGTCCCCAAGGAAGTTTTCAGTTTCACCCAGGAAAGTTGGATTAAAACAAGGCTTAATGCCCAAAACGCTAGACAACTATTTTAAATTAACTTCCAAACTGAAGAACCAAGAAGTACCAAGGAGCAATAAAGGTAAACTTTACCATATGATAAAACACGTATATTATTTAGAAATAAAGTACTGAGGGTGCTAATTTGTCTTGTAAAAATTGAATCCATGGTGTGATTCTGTTAGCTGCTATAGATGTTCAGAGCTTGTAGCATGTGATCTTTGGGAATGAGGGAAATATGAGCTCTTTGTCCTTTTTTTTTTTTTTAAACAGAATCAAAACCTGTATTTTGAAGCCTTGTAGATGTTGTGTATAATTTGCTGTGTAGGGGGCTGCACTTAAAAATCAGCCAAGAAACTGCTCTACTTCTCTTAGGTTGGCAACAGAAAATTCCTGACATCCCTACTTGATGCACAAAAAGCATCCACACTGAACTTACAAATATTTTTTTAAAAAATTATGGCTAAAATCGTAGGTGATTCCAGTATTCTCACCCGATATAGCAAGATCTCAGTGAGAGTGCAAGATCTGTCAGCCTTCATATCTCAGGTGAAATCCCAACCTTCTTTTTTAACTCAATGCCAGTGTCCGTACAAGATTTCATACTGCTGTGTCTGCCTCCTCTCTTTGATTGAAGAATTCCACTTAAAGGGATCCAGAAAGCAGACTCTCTCTGTAACAGTCCCTTTCTTCTGGAACAATACTCCCCAGAGATCCATTTGATCATATCCCCATAGTGTTCTGGAAGTTATAATCTTTGGGATAGTATATTTGTAGAATGTTGATAGCTGTCTGGATACACAGATTTATTTATTTATTTATTTTGTATTGCTGTTCCATTTTTAATTATAAGCTGCTCAGAGTCAGGCTGGAGTCAAGCCTGCCCCTGAAACTACCGTATTTTTCAGAGTATAAGACGCTCCAGACTATAAGACACACCTACCTTTTTTGGAGAGGAAAACAAGAAAAAAAAATCTGCCTCTGCCTCCCAGCATCCATGCAGTATTCATCTGGCCAGTTTGCCGCCACCCATGCGCCGCCGTCCATTCATCGCCACGGCCTGTTTGGTGCCACCGCGGCCCACTCAGGGTGCCCACTTGCCACTGCCACAGCCCAACTCCCCTCCCACCCCCACCACAACATTTGCTGTATAACATGCACCAAAATTTTCACTCACTTTTAGGGGGTAAAAAGTATACTCCGAAAAATACAGTAATTAAATGAATAAACATTTGTGTTGCCTTACGAGTTACATTTCCTGCTGTTGACCTGTATGAGGTGCAACATGCCAAATATCCCTGCTGCCATTTGTTTTCTTCAGCTGCTATATGTCATCAGTTTCTGTATAGGTAGTCCTCAACGTATGACCACAATTAAGCCCAAAATTTCTGTGGCTAAATGGAACATATTTTAAATGAGTTTTGTCCCATTTTACCACCTTTCTTAACACAGGTGTTAAGTGAATTGGTGCAGTTGTTAAGTTAATAAGATGGTTGTTAAGTGAATCTAGCTTCCCCATTAACTTTGCTTGTCAGAATGTTGCCAGAGGTTGATCACATGACCCTGGGACACTGCGAATGTCATAAATATGAGTCAATTGCCAAGTTTCAGAATTTTGATCTTGTAACCATGGAGATGCTGCAATGGTCATAAGTGTGAAAAACGGTCCTAAGTCACTTTTCTCTATTGTAACGTTGAATAGTCACCAAACGAATTGTTATAAATCAAGGACTACCTGCATTTTATTTCCAGCTAATTTAACTATTTACAATTGTATTATATGTCATTGTAAAATTAAGCTTTAAATGCAGGGCAGCCTGCATTTAATTTTAAGGAAGTTTTACATCCCAGTATTGCAATACTTTTTTTCCTTTCTGATACAAACCTGATTGTACTTTTTTCTTCACACAGAAAATAGGAAAAGCTTAAAAACTGAAAAAAAGCCAGAGTTAAAATCAGGAGAAAGGAGAAACAAGGAAGAAGAATCCAGTAATAAATGTGCAACTTCTCTTATTCTGTTTGAAGAGGTAATGCAGATCCTATTCTCTCTGCTACTATCCGGAATAAAGGGAAAAGGACAAAGTCTGTCTCAATTTTTAAAAATTAATTAATTAAATGCTAAATATAAGGCTGCCCAACTCTCGCATGGTGACTTTGGGTGGCTTACAACATATTTAGTTATTAATATAATGATTAATATAATTTTATATTTATTAATTCAGAATGTAGATTCAACTCAACTTTTGTTATTTGCAATAAATAGAATCCTAGTGATTCTAAATAATATGCTGTTTGATTTACCATTGCACTTAAGTTACTTTCCAGGTCCTATATTTAATTGAAAATACTAATTTTGTTTACTCCCAAATTACAGTAGGTACTTTTCTACTTTTCAAATCAACCCAGATCCATAAAATCTTGTATAAAACTAAGATAATACAGGTAGTACTTCACTTACGACTACAACTGAGCCCAAAATTTATGTTGCTAAGTGAGACATTTGTTAAGCGAATTTTGGCCCATTTTACCACCTTTCTTGCCATAGTTGTTAAGCGAACCACTGCAGTTACAAAAGGTGATCACATGACCCGAGGACACTGCAACTGTTATAAATATGAGTCAGTTGCCAAGCATCTGAATTTTGATCACATGACTATGGGGATGATACAATGGTCATAAGGGTGAAAATGGTCATAAATCACTTTTTTCAGTGCTGTTTAACTTTGAACGGACCGTTCAAAGTTAATAAACTGTTAATAAATTATTAACTATTAAGTTAATAAACTTAATAAACTGTTGTAAGTTGAGGACTGCCTGTATACAACAATTAGAAACATGTTTCACTTCTCCTAGGTTGACATAATATTTGATGAAGATATTGGATTTCTAAATGCAGTAAAGACCTTCATGAGCACTACCAAGAGACCTGTCATTCTAACCACGAATGGTAGGCACATGTTATTACTGTAATTCTTCAACTGCTTTAATCTTACATTAAATATCCATTTTGAAGACACTGTTATAAGATTTAAGTAATATTATTGTTTGAAATCTTTTAACTTCAGGACAGTTCCAAAAATAAACTGCCTAGCTACTGTTTTGTGCATTGAAAGAATATTATGGTTCCTTAGGGCAACAGTTTCTTTCATCAATACATTTTGAGGCCTAGTGCATAAATTAAGTAATCATGAGGTGACTGTGGGTACCAGAGCATAAACTTGTCTTTCTCCCATAGCAGTTTTCAGGATCCCAAAATTAAGTTTAAAAAATAACTATAGTATTTGCAAAATGTTATCTCATGTTGGATTTTCCTCATGAGATGTTTTGAGATTTTGGACAAGAGTGCCAGAATCCCATCAGATTGGATGATCTTTGCAGCTTTTGCCCATTTATCTGTTTAGTTTTTTTTTTTCCTTTGTCTATTTTTATTTGGGCTCCAAAGAATCTTTGAAGAACAGATTTCCAGTTAGGCACCATAGTTTTTATGGACATTAACTTCTAAGTTAAAGAATTAATTCACTTCCCTTATTTATTTAGGACTCCGCTAGCTTCATCCTAGCAAAGTGAACCTTTATTAATCAACCGGATATCTTCTCACATAATTTGGCCTAAGAAAAATCAAGAGTTGTTGGAAGTAAGACTTGTCACTGTGACACAAATGTTTTGCAATTGCAAAATGAAATTTAACTTTCTAATAAATTGTTTGTTGTCCAGAGAAATAGTTTATAAGTGCCGTTTTTAAAAACAAAAGTCATTGCAGACTTAGGGAGACCAGATATTTGCCCTGAATATATCCCTGTGTTGACCCTAATAGTGTATTCACGGGGTTTGTGTGAGAACCAGTGACAAACATCCTGTGCTCTTTGTTGAAGGGTCTTCAGTCCCCCAGATGGTATTGATTATCAAGAATTTCCCCCTCAAAAATAGTACAACATTCTGAGAGTGCATTACTAGGTACAGTTCTAGGGGACTAAAATCAGGACCAAAACAGAATTTTTAATGTTCTTGAAGTTTAGTTCAGGGAAATAAGCAGTTTTCTGTAGGGTAAATTGATTGCTCAATATTTTCTAATCCATTTTAACTTTATCAGCAAACTGATTTCCTCCTCTATATCATGAGTCTAAATGGTACTGTACTCTAAATGGTATTGTATGGCCATATAGTCCAAGTAAGGAAAATTTGAGTGAAAAGATTGTATATAGAAAACATTTATTCTGGTAAGTGTGCGCTCAAAAGGCCTGAGATTTCTATGTATCCTATTTTACTGTAGGATAACCAATAGCACTTAGGCTTATATACCGCTTCACAGTGCTTTCCAGCCCTCTCTAAGCAGTTTACAGAGTCAGCATATTGCCCCCAAAAATCTGGGTCCTCATTTTAACGACCTCGGAAGGCTGAGTCAACCTTGAGGTAATCAAGATCACGGCTCACATGACATAGACAAATAGCTATTATGTTATTAACCAATTATGGCAGTGAGTCTTATGCTTTTTCTATTTACTGGGTGCCTGTATTCTTATTAGTAATAAAGTTCAGTGCTCTCAGACGTGCTGAATATTTCTACTTAACCACTGTAAAGGGGATATTTTAATACTAGCTTTCAAATTTTTTCCTATTCGTCTTATAAAAACAAAAATAATTCTGTATGACAAAATGGTAAAAGCCTTTATTATGAATCTTTTGCATAGATCCATTGTTCAGTGAAACATTTGATGGCTGCTTTGAGCAAATCACTTTCAGAGTACCTTCTTTGGTAAGTTTTTCAATTCTGGAATTCTAAAAATGTTGATTATAGTTTCCTAGTATGATAAACTTGTATCAGGTAAAATTGTAATTACAATTTAACAATTTAACTTTATGACAGTACCCAGAAAATGTCATCTACTCAATTAATGTGCAGAAAGACATTATAGATTATTTTCGCAAATAGTCCTTGATTTACGACAATTGACCCCAAAATTTCTATTGTTAAGCAAGACAGTTTTGTCCCATTTTATGACCTTTTTTGCCACAGTTATTAAATGAATCACTGCAGTTTTCAGTTACTGACTTGATTGTTAAGTGAATCTGGTCTCCCCATTGACTTTGCTTGTCGGAAGGTCACAAAAGGTGATCACATGACCCCGGGACACTGCAACCGTCATGAATATATGCCAGTTGCCAAGCGTGCAAATTTTGGTCACATGACTACAGGGTGGTTGCAACAGTCATAGGTATAAAAAACGGCACTTTCAGTGCTATTATTAACTTCAATTGGTCACTAAACAAATGGTTATCAGTTGAGGACTACCCGTATAAGAATTTCTGTTATTACTTTGTAATACTCCTACTCTGTATTATTCCTACTTTGGAGAATCTAAATTCTCCAAAGTAGGGTAGAATAATAGCTTTAAAATAGGAAAGTCAAAGGTGCAGTTATCAAATCCTCTGTCCTTTCCTGTGCCATACCCCACAAGACTCTTCCCATCGCTATATGATTGGCGCCAATTATATTTTCCTCACAAGATTTCTCTCTTTATTGTGCATTGGCTTTCTCACATCATATCCTTTTATATTTTCTGTTTTATTTTCCTCTGATGTTTCTTCATTTTTGGGACAGAGAGCTCTATCTTCCAGCTTTCCACACTGCTAGGGTTTATTTTTAAAGTTGATACTACAGAATTGCACAATAATCTAATCCAATAGATATAAAATAAAGGCAGAAATTACATTACAGAAGATATTTATAGGTGGCCCTCAATTTACTGGTAACTTTTATGGCCTTCAAGGCAAAAAGCCCTAATACTCCACTGCTTTAAAAGTCTTTTTGGGTTGGTTTTCCACATGAAAGGCAGCTTTTGTGCTATGAAATTAGTTTTTATTGATCTGTATTGTAATGTTCAGCACTCTACATATCATAAATGTTCCAGTTTTTCATTATAATGTACAGTATGTGCTATTGCATAATAAGGACAAGATTCTAACATCACACTTTCTAATTGGCTTACTACCTATTTTTAACAACACTAGCAAATAAATATAATTTATAGTCTTGCAATATAGAGCATTCTTTGATATGTTTACTAAAGGCAAGTGTTGTCAATTTTTTCATCTGTTTGTATTTAGATGAATGTGGCTAGCTATCTCCAAGTTCTGTGTTTGGCCGAGAATTTAAGAACTGATATCAGAGACTTTGCTGCTTTGTTAACTGTGAATAACTGTGACATCAGGCAGAGTATTCTATACTTACAGTTTTGGGTCCAGAGCGGTGGTGGTTACTTGAAAGAAAAAGGTATGGAAGTCTATCATAATTACAACTCATTTAAAATTGAATGAAACTTAAGTAAGCCTTTTGCTTTGCCTGGGCCAGATTAAGTGAAGAGGAATTGTCTTGGGCTTCATATGAAATATATACTATAGTTAAAGTGCATAAGCTTTTAACATTATTATATGATTTATTATCTTGTGGGGGCCACAATACTAGCTGTCCAGGGCCTCATGCAGCCCTTGGGCCATGGGATGGATGCTCCTGGTTTAGGCTTTTAGGTTTAAACATGTTTATAGTACCAAATGCCAATACAAAGTGGTGGTGCAGTGGTTAGAATGCAGTATTGCAGGCTAATTCTGCTGACTGCCAGCAGTTCGATCCTGATTGGCTCAAGGTTGACTCAACCTTCCATTCTTCCGAGATGGGTAAAATGAAGATCCAGGTTATTGGGGGGCAATATGCTGACTCTGTAAAACACTTAGAGGGCTATAAAAGCACTGTGAAGCAGTATATAAGTCTAAGTGCTATTGCTATATGTAAGACACAAGTTACTGTGTTGGCCTCTAAATAGATTATGAGAAGAGAAAAAGCAAAGATCAGGGAATAGAATGAGGTTTGCAGAAATGTGACAGTGTGAATATGAGATGGAATTACTGATATATTACCAAAGTGGAAGGGTAGAATTCTAGCCAATGTTATTGACAGCAATGAATCTGAGGGCCAGATTATTCCTTGTGTAAATAGTCAGTTGAATGTACCTGACTATGTGATTACAGGTCTAGTAGTAATTTGGTAATATAGACAGAACTGTATTTGTAGTCATCTCATAAAGCCTGCAAACCATCCAGCCCCCTCCAGTTACTTTGAAGTAATTCCTTCAGGATCTGTTCCCAGAAAGCTTTCCAAAATCAGGAGGTCAAAACTGTGGCACATCTTTTATTTGATATACTCTGATATACTGATATACGATGCCATAGTTAAGTGAGGTCAGATATACCAGTGTCTAGAATTTGAACTAAATTGATGGTCTTTTGCTGTGCTCAATATTGAGGTACAAAACTCTTTTGTACAGGGACCAGGACAGAGATCAATGTACAACAGAACGTTTCCATCGAAGAATCAACGAGCTCGAATTCAAAGCAACCTATTCTTGAGACTATTCCAAAATGTAGTACTGGCTGCACTGAGAATCTTCTTGGACTTAAGAACATATTTTTGCCTTCAGAAGATTTGTTCTCATTTCTTAAGGTACATTTACTAAAATGTTTAACAAGAAATGAACCTTCAACCAAATGTTGCAACATGGATGTTGCTAGGCCCATCCATTTGGTCTCCCTTGTCCTTGGATTTATTTTCCCTCAGCTGTATTACATGGTCAGTGAACAAGAGAGCCTCACTGGACTTAGGTTAAAAAAAAGTGCTATATATCCACCCAGGCTTTAGTACAAGTAGTCCTCGACTTACGACTACAATTGAACCCAAAATTTCAATTGCTTAGGAGGACATTGCTATTGCTAAGGAGGACAGTTGCTAAGCCAATTTTTTGCCCCATCTTACAACCTTTCTTACCACCATTGTTAAGTGAGTCGCTGCAGTTGTTAAGTTAGTAAAACGATTCTTAAGTGAATCTGGCTTCTCCATTGACTTTGCTTGTCAGAAGGTCGCAAAAGTGGATTACATTACCCCAGGACACTGCAACCGTCATAAATGTGAGTTAATTGCCAAGGGTCCGAATTTTGATCACATGACCATAGAGATCCTGCAACAATGGTTGTTAAGTGTGGTCATAAGTCACTTTTTTCAGCGCTGTTGTAACTTCGAACAGTCACCAAATAGTTGTAAGATGACGAATGCTTGTTCTTTTGCTGGTCTGCTAATAAGCTCCTTCCGCTTACAGAGGAGAGTGGTTTGAGTCAGGGCTTCACTTGTAAAAGGCAGTTCCTATTCTAATTCATTGCCTTTCTTCCATCCCCACCCAACCTCACAAATCCAAACCAGCATTTTTATGCATTTACAGGATTTGATGCAGGATGACATAACTTCTTCGGTAAAAATTATACCTTTAACAAAACACTCTTGCAGAAACTTGAAGGTTAAAAAAATGTGTGCAATGAACGGTTACAGTCTTAAATCAAATCTAGAACAATGTCCCTTTTTCAAACCATTGGACTTTCCAGAATTAGTTCTAATCAAAGTAGACAAAATAGGTAGTAGTAGGACATTTGTACAAGTAGTCCTTGAGTTAACAACCGCAATTAAGACTGGAATTGCCATCGCTAAGTGATACAGTCATTGAGTCACACCTGATTTTACGACCTTTTGCTGTAGTCATTAAGTGAACTTAACAGTTACCAAACAAATCTGGCTTCCTCCATTGACTTTTGTTGGTGGGAGCTCCCCAGGAAGGTCACAAATAATAATCACACGACCCTGGGACACTGCAACCGTCATAAATGTGAGGACTGGTTGTAAGTCATTTTTCAGCACGGTTGTAACTTCAAAGGTGTTTAAATGAATGGATGTAAGTCCATGGCTACCTGTATGAATAAAAAAGTAATTTAAAAGACAGAAATTATAACAAACTTAATTCTACAGAGTTAAGTAACCACATTTGAAAATTACTTTTTAAAAACACAAAATGTCCTTTTCCGACAGATTTCACATATCTAATTTTATTAACTATTTCTGGTGATTAAGGACAGCCTTTAAAATCAAGTAGGCTCCAAATCTCCTTTTTGTTAATGATAATGAACTAATGATTTCTCTACAGCATGAAATCAGAACAAAGGAAGATTGGAATAGACTGATACATGTGCTCACAGAATTCCAGATGAGGAATACAGACTTTACTTATAGCAACCTTGAAATCATCTCATCGTTGCCTCTTAATATAATTCCAGAAGCAATTGAAATACCCAGTCCTGTGTGTAGCTTTATTGCAGAAAAGGCTTCAAGTAGTACATGCATTGAGATTGACTACTTAGAGGGAGCCCCTCCTGTGAAAAAGGCTAAACGATCAAAATGTCAGAAAAAAATGGCTGTATTGGACGATAGCGATTTATTTGAACGTGGATTAAATTACTCTGGCTTTGTTACACTGTCACCTGACACAAGCACTTCATGCTTAGAAGAAACAGGCCCAGCGGAACCTATGAATGTTGGCACAGTGGCACCGAAGGATGGGACATCTGTCAGTGCAAAAGATTCTGTATTGGTATCCCAGTGTTTAACTTCCCTAACTGAATACCTGGACAATATGTCTTTCTTGGATTGTTGTTTCACTGAACCCACCCAGGCATCAAAACAGGCCGGTAAATATGGAGATTTTATTTGGACTAAGGGGAAGATAAAGAATGGTCTCTCTGACGAATTTAGTGTGGAGCATACTGACTGGTGGAGTTCTCAAAGCTCTAGTGAACTAAAAGCAACAATGGAGGCATTAAGTTTTAACAAATGCTCTAAGAGCATTTCAAAAATCATGGAAAGTTGCTTGAACTGTAATAAAACTCTCAGGAAGAATGAACTTGAAGAACTCACTCTCTGTGTTTCAAAAGAACAAGCTGATTTATACTTCGGCCGGTCAGCAGCTAATTCCAGGTAAATCAAAACTTTTGCTTAGGTTTTACAGTATGAAATGGGAAAAAGAGTGTCCTTAGCTGTAATGTAAAGCAGACGCCCTAAAGAGAACAAAGAGCTTACCGTATTTTTTGGAGTATAAGACGCACCGGAGTATAAGACGCACCTTAGTTTTTGGGGAGGAAAATAAGAAAAAAGCTGATTGGCAGGTGGATCGGCCTCCCAGAATACCCCTAATCAGCTGTCCCAGAAGTGAATTTTAGCAACAGGTTCCTTGATTGTGAGCTCTGTGACTTGTTGTTTTTTTTGCTTTTTTTTTTTTTTTGCTTTTTTTTTCTGCCTCTGAAACTTCTGAAACTCTTTTTTCAGAAAAAAACTTTTTTTCCTGCCTCTGAAAGCCTCTAAAACAGAGCTTCAGAAAAAATGCCTCTGAAGCTCTGTTTGGGGGCTTCTTTTCTGAAGCTTTGTTTCTGATGCTTTTTTCAGCTTCTGGAAGCTGTTTGAAAAGCTGGGCAGGGCTACATTCGGAGTATAAGACGCACCCAGATTTTCATCCCCTTTTTTGGGGGGGAAAAGGTGCATCTTACTACTCTGAAAAATACGATATATTATTTTGATTAAGGCCTGGATATTAATTTCTCTTGCTGACTTTGAAACTGAAGACAACAAAGACAGAGACCATCACATTGTCACATTAATTTATAAGGTGGAAGAGAACAGTTTTATCAACAGAATTATTTTAGAAGTAAACTTCTTTAATATGGGAGAAAAATTTTACACTTATCCAAGCTGCTGCTCTTTATACTATGTCTCATCTAACTTAGGGGTTTAGAAGTAGTAAAATGAGAATGGAAGATTTAGCGTTATTCATTTGTATGTCTTTTACATTTAATATCCAGTCTTAATCTCTGCTTATTACATGATTCCTGAGACTTTCATTTTTTAAAAAGGATACTTCAGCTTTCTTATAGAGTACAAGGAAAAGATTAGGAAACAAGATGTTAATTCAGCAATCTGCTATAAATATTCACTTCTAAAAATATATTATATTCTTTCTTTTTTACAGTGTTCATTATAATGCACAGAAAAGGATAGAATTAATTAAAAATGTGTTTTCCAGTACACATTTAAATCTTAATAGCAGGCAAGCCAGCGTAATGGAATATCTGCCGATTCTTCGCAACATTTGTAAATCAGAAAAACAGAAACAACAGGGGAAGACAAAGAGGAGGTAAGTTATCTAAAGTTGCACAATTCTGGACAGACTTCTATAGAAGTAGATCATTGAATTCAAAAGGATTTACTTTCTGGTGTGTTGGAATACCATGTATGCATGTATCTGAGTTACAGACAAAATTATAAAGTAATCTGGTTCAAAATGATCAAGATGTTTTCATCTTAATACTGAATCTAAACTATTATTTCTTTCCTCCCCACAAACAGGTTTCTCCACTATCTGGAAGGGATTCATCTTCCCAAAGAAATTTTGAACAGCCTGGCAGCTGACTTTCCTTAAAACAGTGGCCAAGAATAACATTGTAAATAGAATTGTATATTCAAAAGACAATTATATTTTTAATCTTTATTTATAAAGGATGCAGATATACCAACTAGTTACTTCTAGGTCAGCTTTTAATTTGTATAACAATAGATCAATTCAAATAGATGCTTTTAAAAAACAGCTTTAAGTTTATCAATACAATCAGGTGATTGACTTGAAAAAAATGTGGCTTTCTAATGTTAGTAAACATCTTAACACCAGAAAGCCACATCTTTTTCAAGTCAATCAGTTAATATAGTGATAAACTTAAAAAAGCATCTATTTGAATTGATTTAACAATAGATCCAGATTAACCAAATGTTAAGAAGTGACACTCAGCAATTACCCTACTTTAGATTGAAGTTGTTGGTAAGTTGCATGCATCTGCAAACATGCAGACCTGTACATTTGTCCCTAGCAGGCAAAGTCTATAAGGGAAAACAATAAATTTTGTAAATCCCTTTGTTACATTAACAGCTCTTTGCGGCTGTTTAACTGCATTTCTGTACATCTTTTTATACTATTTTATTATTGTACCAACACTTTTTTTAAGTTTCTATCCCTGCAATAAACTAAAATATCTGAAAGGAAAGGCGTAACTTTTTATACAGTGATTTTGTGATATAAAAATCACAAATTCACAAATTTTGGATTCCCCTACTCATTTCTCCCTAAACAATTCCCATGTTCCTTGTACTACTTTCAACCCTAATAATGAAGGTTGTTTAGATTAGAATAAAAGAAAGTATTTCCATACTTGGTAATTCCTGAAGTCTATTGCATGTCAGTTGGCCAAGTGGAAAAATAATCATTAAAACCATTCTTACGTTTTTTAAAAAAAAACCCTCTTGGTAACATGCAGTTAAGCACTTAGCATCTTCTACCAGACATACAATATGGCTTTGAAACATTTGACAGGTTGCTTATTTATTACTTGTCACTGATCCAAAACATGTTAGTTATATAATTCTTTCATTTTGAATGTGTTCAATTGTTATCTAACGTTAGAGAGTGTTAAGATAGATTCCTGAGAACAGGAAATAATTTTGATACTAACACCTGAAGATTATTTCAACTTTTGTAATGTTACATCAAATGTCACAGATCTATTGTACAATCCAGAAGTCGCACAATCATGAATTTATTTGATTCTTAAGACATTTCATCAGTGTCCAATACTAGAAGCTCATAAAAAGCTATTGCCTGCAATAATGAATCACATAGTTCCTCCTCTCTTTTCCATGTATTACCTGACACTATATGCATATGCCTGGCAACTACATTGTTTGCAAAGCTCACACGGGATGCTTGTGTAGCAGAGTCCAACAGAAACTGTTTTACAAGGTCCACTCCACTAATTCGTGCCTCTCCCAACATCAACCCAAAATATCTGCCTACAGCATTCCGGGCGATGCTCAGCACTTGGGGTTGTCCATCCTTTCCAAAACTTTTTTGCAATAATGCATAAAGTACAGCTTCCATTATACGAAGATGCAATGTTACTGGAAACAAGGCAGCATTTGTGGGAGGAAGTCCAACTTTTTCCAAAACATAAAAGTCTACTTCTGGAATCTTGGATATTATAGTAGATACCTAAAACAAACAAGTATAAGTCAGTTTTATCAAACTCGAAGAATGCAGCACCACAAATCCTAAAGCATGCATTGGTTACATTAATCTACTAGAAATGTTTATACTACAATGAAATTATTTTGAACTGTACCTTAAAAGCAGTTTTGAATGAGTAAGTATACAAACTCATGATTTAACTTGGTACAGAATGGATTGGGTCCATCAAAAACTTCCTCTAGATCAGGGGTGTCAAACTCGTGACCCACGGGCCAGATGCATGCCTGGTTTAGTGAAGGGGGAACATTGCGATACATCATGTGACGCCACAAGTTTGACACCCCTGCTCTAGATGGGAATCAAGAAGTAACTGGACTTTCTGGTTTTTCTTGGAAGACATTTCGCTTGTCATCCAAAAAACTTCTTCAGTTCTGAGAAGAAACTTCCTAGTCCAAGAGCTGAAAAAGCTTCTTTGATAAGAAGCGAAATATCTTCAAAGAAAGAAAAACCAGAAAGTCCAGTTGCCTCTTGAAAAAGCACCATTGGGACAACCATGACCTGGATGACTGAGAATCTCCATAGATATCCAGATGGGAATATTCTACTCAAAAGTGGGCTACAAATCTGGCAGATTTATGCTAGCTGAACACACTGGATGCTATTTTTGTGCATGTCCCTGCAAAAAGGTAAGGTGCACTCTAGAACAGGTTCTCAACCCCTAGGCCGCGCCCCGGTACCGGGCTGTGCATGTGGCAGGCAAGTGGGCAAGTACGCAAGCACACAAACTTCATTTGCACAAGCAGCAGGTGTGTGCAAAATCGTCCCCTCTCCCCGCCACTGTCACTGCCGGTCTGTGGAGCCAGAAAGGCTGGGGACCGCTGCAACTGCAATGGAGCCCAATTTTTTTGTTGCTAAGCAAGATTATTGTTAAGTGAGTTTTGCTCCATTTTCCAACCTTTCTTGCCACAGTTGTTAAGTGAATCGTTGCAATTAAGTTAGAAACAGTTGCTAAATGAATCTGGCTTCCCCATTGACACTGTCAGAAAGTTGCAAAAGGTGATCACATGACTAGGCGAACATCATTAATCCATGCCAGTTGCCATGCATTTGAATTTTGATCATGTGACCATGGGGATGCTGTAATGGTCATAAGTATGAAAAATGGTCATAATTTTTCAGTGCCATATTAACCTTGAATGGTCAATAAATGGATGGTTGTACATTGAGGATTACCTGTGTTTGGTATTAACTCCGTCTTTTCCTGTTTTATTAGCGTTTACATTGAAATCAAGGGATGAAGTATATAGCTAAGTAACTATGCTTTATTATACAGGACAGTCCTCCAGAAAGCTGGCCTTTAGACTTCTTTATTGATTTATTTTATTGATTTTGCTCTTAAATTTTCCTTTGCAAAGCAAAGTTATAAATGTTACATTTTTTGTTTAATCCTTATGAATCTCTTTCGGATTTTTTTCCCTATTACGGGTTTCTCTTTGATATTTTTTGATATTTTTCCAAGAAAATAATCTGGAAAATATTATTTCCAAGAAAATATCTGGTACAGATAGTCCTCAATTTACAAGTATTCATTTAGTGACCAAGGTTATAACAGCATTGAAAAAAGGGCATGATGCTGTGATGGTTCTAAGTGCAAGGGCTTATGACCAGTCCTTGCACTTACAATCATCATAGATCCCCCTGGTCACGAGATCAAAATTTGGGTGCTTGGCAACCAGCATGTATTAATGACAGTTGGAGCATCCCAGGGTCATGTGATCACCATTTCCGGCCTTCCCAACCTGCTTTCACAAGCAAAGTCAGTGAGGAAGCCAGATTTGCTTAACAACTACGATTCACTTAACAACTGCAGGGATTCATTTAACAACCATGGCAAAAAGTTGTAAAATTAGGGATAACTCCACAACCACCTTGCTTAACAATGCAGATTCTGGATTCAGTTGCGGTTGTTGAGGAGTACCTGTAGAGCAACAGTGAAACACCTATGATGCTAACTCAAGTGCTGAAACAAAATGGTTTGAATCATTTGAGTTTGAAGATTGACACTCAAACATCTTTTGAGTTCCCTGCACTTCTCAATCATAACCATGAAACCCTTTTATCTATTTCAGGCATATTCAGCCCCTGCAGATGGGCCACATGTGGCCCTGGACAGCTAGTAATGTAGCCCTACAAGATAATATAATAAAGTTTATTATTTATATAAATTAGCTATACAATGTATATGCTTCCCAAGACAATTCCTCTTCACTCAATGTGGCCCAGCCATGCCAAAAGATTGGACAACTATGATCTATAAATTACAAAACTTCCCTCAAGGCAAAGAGGCTGTCTACTCTAAAAGTTATTCACTAGCTAGGAAATAGTCTGGGAAGCTCTAGGTAACCAGATTAGGCTATCCAAATCCCAGTGCCTCAACTAAAGCTTTATCTACCTGTCTACTATCTATTTAACATTTGTTATAGCTGGAAAAGGAGGATTGTTGTAAAACAAGGGAGAAGAAATGGTAGAAGAGCAACCCCGAATATATTTAAATTTTTTCTTAGGATGAAGAATGAATTAATATGAAAGTGTAGAGAGTATATGTTTGATTAATAATGGATGAGAGACTACATTTATAATATGTTTATGAGAAATAAAATAAAAAACATTTTATTTGTTATAGCTGCCCAACTCCCAATAAATTCTCAGTACAACATTTTTAAAAATCCATAAAAAAATAAAACAGAGACAGTCTGGACTAAAACCATTTCAGAAGCAACATAAATCAAACAAAACTAACAGCCCCTTTCCCCGTCCTGCCACACAATACAATAAATTAACTCCAGTGACATTCCACCTGCCTGTTCTGTTCTGAATCTTATCTCAATTGAGGGCCATGCTACCAAGTGCTTGAGCTGGAAGGCTGCCCACCCACTCGGTCTTGGCGGCACTGTGTTTTCTCCCAATTCTTGAAAACCCAATGGTGCCTGAGGCTGATTAGCACAAGGTGAGACGGGCAGGTTAATCCCCCTTTAACCCTCAACAGATTATTCTTCTCCCTGTAAAATGAAACCGCAAGGGAATCAGCCTTTCCAACCTCACCCTGGACAAACATGGGAGTGCTTCTCCCCCAATATATCCTGCAGTTTTCAATCGTGTTTCCAGACTCTTCTTCATTTTTAGAATCTTTCCAGCACTCCTTGCATACGGTAGCTGACTAATATCATGATATAGCGCTTCACAAAAGTCCTTCCCCCATGATACAGTTTATTTATTGGAGGCCAATTCTATAAGATTGTGGGTGGCTATAATTAACATCATGAGTTCGCATGTGTGACATACGAACCTTCCATCTGCTGTAAAAATGTAACACTTCAAGAATGAAAAAGGGTATCCCACCAAGGAAAGATAAGATGGCTTACTGTATCAAGGTACATTGCTGGTGTGAACGTTTCGT